CGTTTTGGGATATGAAGAGCTGGTTCGTCTAAGCTTCTGGTTCTCTCTTTTGATTTTATATTGTCGTGACTGGATTGATTTTGTCTTCAGGAGTTCCCGGTGGCCCTATTCCAATGTGGGTCAGAAGTTTTCAGACATTCTCCTTAGGTCTGGAATCTTCTAAGAATGATTTTGGCCTCAGGAACTTGAGTTTTGGACTGACCTGAGATCCTGGCCGTGGCTGTGCCACGCAGGGATGCAAAGGCAGATGGGGTGGGAAGAAGTCCCAAGATTTCCCAGGGAGTGGATCGAGTGGCTGGGTTGTACTGGATGCAAAGGATCAGGGAGAGGCAAGATAAGCCTCGGAGCCCCAGAAAGAGGCTATCAGCCACAGAAAGAGGCTGGCCGGTGTTGCAGGACCAGGGAGCAGTATTGGTTCCCCAGGTGTCTGGGGACCCAAGCCTAGGAATGGCGCAGGGCCCAAACCAGGAGCAGAGAACAGCGGGGGAGATGGAAGGGTGAATGAGGCCGGGGGAGTCAAGGTGCGGAGGGCTCCGCTATAGACTTACCCCAAGAGAGCCCTCAGGGTAGGAGAGCAGGCTAGGAGAGTTAGCCAGTGGTGCAGGTCCAGGGAAGCAGAGAGAGGTGAGGGTGGGGCCAGGTCCAGAAGCAGTGCTCCTGGGGCCCAAGTAAGGCACTAAGTTGGACTGGGTGAGAAAGATCAGGAAGTAGTATTGGTTCCCCAGGTGTCTGGGGACCCAAGACTAGGAATGCCACAGGGCCCAAACTAGGAGTAGAGAACAGAGGGGGAGATGGAAGGGTGAATGAGGCTGGGGGAGTCAAGGCATGGAGGGCTCTGCGATAGACTTGGCCCAAGAGGCCTGAGGTGGTCCAGGGAAGCAAAGAGAGTTGAGGGCAGGGCCAGGTCCAGAAGCAGTGCTCCTGGGGCCCAAGGAAGGCTCCAAGCCGGTCCAGGTGAAAAGGATCAGGAAGCAGCACTGGCTCCCCAGGTGTCTGGGGACCCAAGACCAGGAATGGCGCAGGGCCCAAACCAGGAGCAGAGAACAGCGGGGGAGCCTCATTAAGTATTTTTAATTGATTTACTACAATCTTGAATTTGGATTTTACCCTAAGGCCCACTGTCCTGAGATTCTTCCAATTCTTTTTTCTAATTTCTGAAAATATAGTACTTGATGAAGTCACTGACACTGAGCACTGGCTTCAGCCTTCCTCGGGCCAGCAGACCCCAGGAACATGGTGAGGGCTTTGTGTACCCAGCAGCACTTGCTGCTCCCATGCTCTACTTTGGTGAATGGGATGCTGGGATGTAGCCTGGTGAGGCCTTCCAGGTACACTCTGCTGAAACGGAAGCATGGCCATTCATGGAAATTGTCAGGTGGCTGAAGAAGTGATTCGAGGCTGGGAATCCAAGTTACCAGTTTTGTTCTTATAAAGGGTGGATCTATCCATGCATGTTAACCCCAAGGGTTTTGTTTTCTGTCCACTTTTGCCCTATAGGTGACCTTTATGGAGCCATAGGCTCTCCAGTGAGATTGACTCGCACCGTGGTGGTCGGCAAGCAGAAAGATTTGGTCCAGCGCATTCTTTATGTCCTGACCTACTTTCTTCGTTGCTCAGAACTACAAGAGAATCAGCTGACCTGGAGTGGGAATCACAGTGAAGGTGACCAGGTTATAAATGGGAGCAAGATTGTGACAGCCTTGGAGAAGGGAGAGGTGGAGGAGTCCGAGTATGTGGTAGTGACAGTGAGGAACGAGCCTGCTCTCGTACCCCCTCTCCTGCCAGCAGCAACAGCTCAGAGAAGGAGCCCTGCGCCTTCAGGCTTAGCTGAGGCCTCAGAGGGCACTAACGCTGGAGAACTGGGTCACAATCCTGAAAAAGGTGGACACAAGAAATCAGAGCAGATTTCTGAGGCCAGTGGTATAGGATTCCCAGAAACAGAACCAGACATTTTGTGGAAACTTCAGGGTGTGTTCTCTGAGGATGAACAAGATGGACAAGAGGCAGCACAAGATGACTTTTCAAGATTTCCCAGCTGTGAGATGCCCAGGGCAAGAATAAAGATGGACCAGCAATCTGTCCATGAGGAGCTGAAGGGGGAGATGCTAAAGAAACCACCAGACCGGTCAGCAGCCTGGCCCTGCCCTGACAGACATTCCCAGGAAGATCCTCCCATAGAAAAGGTCACTTTCCAAATCGGAAGTTCTGTATCTCCAGAGTCTGACTTTGAAAACCGCACCAAAAAAATGGAGGAGCGGCTAAAGGCCTGTGGACGATATCGAGAAGTAGCCAGTGCCTCTGCCAGGTCCAGCATGGCCACTGGCTTGACTCAGGACCAGCAGAGCTCTAGGTGCTCCTTCAAAACTGACTTTCAAAAGAATGTTGGCCTTCCTCAGGACCAGTCTTTGGAGAAAGGGGGTGAATGTGACCGGGGTTTTGCTGAGGACAGAGGCCTCAGAGCTGATACTGTGGCAGATGCTATGGGACAACTTAGCCAAGCAGATGGCCTCTTTGCACCTTCCAGTGGTATGGCAGGCAGTGGCAGGAGACCACTGGAGCTGACTGGTGTTTTGCAATTAAAAGGCGAGAAAGGACCTTCATCAGAGCCTGTTCCAAACAGGTGTGGACAGCAGGGTGACCTGTTGGTTGCTGTAGATGTCCCCTGTGGGGATGCTGGTGGTAAGGCCAACTTCAGGATTGAAGGAGACATTCCCAGAAATGAAAGCTCAGATAGTGCTCTTGGAGACAGTGATGATGAAGCATGTGCTTCAGCGATGCTACCAGGTCATGGTGATGACTGGACTGAAGGGTCCTTGGAAATGGAGCTGCCTCTACCAAGGTAACACTGTAGGCTGAGAAGCAGAGGGAGCTGGAGTGGGGTACTGTGCTCCTGGCCTGACACCATGACCATGGTAGCAACTCATGCCTGCTTTACCTGTAGTACCTTTTTTCTCTCAAGGTTATTAGAGATGTTGCCAGTTCCTCTCTGGGGGTTTCCAGTCTGCCCGTTCTCCAAGGATGCTCGCAGTCTTAGTGTGGTTGAGCTCTTGGATGGTGGACTGGTGGTGGGTTTTGCAGTTGTTGGACACTTTGGGGAAAGCTAAGGGCCCTAGTGGCCATGGTAGCAAGGAGCAGAGAGTTGGATTTGGTATGTGTGGAATTTGTGTGGTGGGCAGCAGATGTCTTGCTTCTGAGGTAATAGGTCATGCTCATGTGGGGCTTCTGTCCTGCCACTCAGACCTCTTCACTGGCATGTCATCTGGGATTACTTGGCCTCTGACGACTGTTAGTTGCAATTAGAGATTTCTTCTGTTCCTCCATACTGTGGCAGACCTCACCCTGTGCAGACATCGCAGATCCCTACAGCCAGGCTTTGGGCACCACGATCCCCAGCCTCTTTCTTTACTCTTCTGACACAGGCTTTCTAGTAGATGTTCAGTGTAAGGCACAAATATAGATTCTTGGATTTTTGTTTTTTGGGTTTTTATTGAGACAGAGTCTCACTGTGTAGCTCAGGCAGGCCTATGTCTCCACCTGGCTCAAGAAGGAAGTTTTAGCCAGCCATGGAAATAGTTGTGGGTTTTTTTGTTTTGTTTTGTTTTTTTCCAGGCTTCCATTTTAATAAAATCTACTTCTTTTTCTCTCCCAATCTTCTTCCCACACTAATGATCCTCTTACAAGAGAATTCTGAACTAGACTTCCCTGAACTGTTATATTTTCTTGTTTTTGGTTCCCATTGTAATACAAAAAGAAAGTACTTTTCAACTATGTATTTAATAGCTCAAATGTTGTTTTAGGTCTCAGAGCATCAGCAACCCAAATGTTAAAAACTTTGGGCGCTCACTTTTGGCGGGTTACTGTGCTACGTACATGCCTGATCTGGTGCTGCATGGGACCAGCAGTGATGAGAGACTGAAGCAGTGCCTGGCGGCTGACCTGGTCCACACGGTACATGTAAGTGACCCTAGCATAGAGCCATTGGCTGGCCAGCAACAGGTGCTTACCCTGAAAGGCATCTACTTAAGGGGTGATTTTAAAGATGTGGGAGGGATATAACAACCAATGAGGGATGATAAAGCATCCAAGGACTTCAGGCACATCTGGGCCAGACTCTGCAAGGGGAGGGAAGGTGACAGTGGAGCTGCAGTGGGCTGGAGAGGGAAGAGGGACTGTCTGACTGGGGAGCACTGGAGAAGGTGCGATGTCTGGCTGCTGGTTCTTTTCCTCCTTCTCTGAGCTCTTCTGCTAGAGACCACAGAACAGAGACACAACTAAGGCAGATACCTCCCATTTTCCATAGAGGTCAGCCTCCTGGGCTCATAATAGGATGGATGGAAAAGGGCAAAGAGTGGGTCTAGGGTTAAATGGTTATGAGCTGGCCTGGCATATAGGATAAATGGCACAGATAGTGACAATTATATACCTTCACAGGGAAAACTAAAGCAATGTCACATATGGTTTGCTTTTTATCTGAGCCTTGCAAGTTCCTAGAAGTAATTTATTTTAACTCATTTGTTATTGAGTTCATTTTGATACCTGGGTGGGGATGACTGTATAAAGATTCACAAGTCTTCTGGAAAGTTACCCTGTGGCTGCTGCTAAGTGCTTTTCTGTTATCTGCAGTATGACAGGAGTGATGCAGTTATGGAAGCTGTGTCAGCCTGATGGAACTATTTTTAATTGAGCTGCTATTGGGCAGATATATAAAAATTCTTTTGGTATTAGAAACATACTGTATATTACGCAGTCAGAAAAGTCCTCTTTGTATTAAGATAATTTGAACTTGATTTATCTCCTTACTGAACACGTTTGTTTGTTTTGTGTCATTTTGTGGGGAGTTTTTGCAGGGTAGAACAAAGGCAGTTATGTTATCTTTGGCCTTGAACATCAGCCTAAACACATCACAGATACAGGCTAAACAGGCTAAGAATATTTGTGTGAAGTAGGAAGAAGGCCTCACTAGGGAAACAGATGATCTCATGACCCCCCTCCTCAGGGAGGTAAAAATAATGAGGAGAAAGTGCTGGGAGCTGGGGAAGGCCCACCCAGCATGTAGGTACTCACCCAAACACCTCACCAGCATTCCTTGGAATGAAGCTGTGACGCTGCTTTTGTCTCTTAAGTCACTCACAATTTAATTTTCATACTTACCACAAACACTGCAAACCTGCTTTTATCATTGCAGAGGTTCAGCTACATACACCCTTGCATAGCAAGTACCCTCGTTGCATAGTGTCACTTTTCACTTTCTGTTGAGCTGCCCTAAGTGGTGACTGTATTTGTGTGTTTTTACCAGCCATCTGTGGTGTTGGGACATGAGAGGACCCTGCTTCCCTTTCTGTCACCACCTCATGTCCATATCATAGGCAAGACCCTGAGGTGTCTACTCTGCTGTCGGTAGGGTTCCTAAGGACATCTCATTGCACCTCATCTCCACCAGGAGAGTTTTGCTACTGACAGGAGCAGCAGGAGGCTGCAGGAGCCAGCAGGATCTTCCTAGGTGACATTGATCTTGCCAGCTGCTGCAAATTTGGCCCACAGTTCCCCAGATTCACTAACAACTGTGGAAAAGGACTCTCCCAGTTGACAACATACTTGAACTCTCCTGTAAAACAATTCATGAAAATTTTGTGTGTTTTTATAGGTTGACAGGTTCTAATTTCTGAATATTTTCATTATGGCCATCTGCCTCTACTATTTTTAGAGTTGAAAAACAGCCATGTTTACACTATTCTCTCTTTTAAAGCTTTTCATGTTTCCTTTTAGTAGTGTTTTCACACTGTAGCTTTTCTCATTTCTTTAAGCTATACAGACACCCTGAGAGATTGCAAGTTATTAAATATAATAACCTATGTCATGTCAGGTTGTAGGCATATCCAAAGTGCAGTCATGTATGGTGTTAACAGGAAATTGTGAAGAACTCATAGAAGTATCTTCATAAATTCATTACATTCTGAACATATCCAGTTAGCATCCATGGATTTCTAATTTCATTGACTGATCATGCGCTTTGTGTTTGACACTGACTTCTGTGGAGACTGCCCCTAGGGCTGACATTGTGGACCACGCTGTTTGGTTTTTAATTTTAAAAGCCTTTCAACTTCCATTTATACATATGTGTTGAAAAATAAATTAGGGGTATTTCAGAAACATTAGTAAATTTACCACCCCATAAGGGATGTTAATGGTTTAGAGTGTGAGAACCTTGTCAGAAAAGGAGACAGTCCGAGCTCAGGGAATCACCTATGGAGGAGGAGATTGAAGGAGTCACCTGAGCCACTAGCATTCACAGCTTGTTTGGGGGTGTAAATAATTTTCAGGTTTGGGCACTCATCGTTATTTTTAAATATTTTATTTATTATTTTTATTTTATGTGTATGAGTGTATTGCCTGCATGTATGTGAGTGCAGCCTAGGTCGTACAATGCCGCGGGGGTCAGAAGAGGGCCTCAGATTCCTGTGGTACTCTAAGGACAGTTCGTAGCCACCATGTGGGTGCTGGGAATCGAACCCGGGTCCTCTGCAAGAGCAGTCAGTGCTCTTAACTGCTGAGCCATCTCTCCAGCCCCATAATTATTTTTAAAGAATGATTTTTACTACCCGTTTAAAAGCATTCAATTTAGGTTGCTGATCGTTACTGATCTGTTTTCTAGACCTCTTTGTGACTTAGGTCACAATGTCTGGCTTTGTAAATGTGCACTGTAATAACCATAATGGACTGGAGCATGAGGTATTTCTTTCTAGAATGTTCAATATCAGGACTTTCTTTTTATTCTTTTTTTAACCCTAGTCTCTTATGAAAGGTCTATTATTTTTTGCCGCTTAGTCTAATGATTTTTCTTGCCTTTCACATGTTAAGATTCAGGTTTTCTTTGAATGTTTAAACACAGTGTTCTTATTTAGTCGGTATACCACCTCTTCTCTGTCTCCTAACACATGTTACACAGCTGCCTTAACTTAATCTGAAGTAATACTGCATCACTTTTCCCTGTTCCATCTAAATGTGTGAGTTCTCTGCATGTTCCTTTTGACTTTGAATGGAAAGCGTGCACACACATGAGCCAGCAACACTCCGAACCTGTGACCTGCAGTGGGCTTATCTCTCCTCTATATCCTGTCTGCCTGTGAATGCTCCTGCTGACTAGGCAATGCTTCCTACCAAACCAAGGCAGAGCAGAGTGACAACAAGCATCAGCAGCATTGGCTTGGGTTCAGGTCCTAGTGTTGTTACTACTCATTTATTGATAATCTCAAGTAAGTCAGTTGGCATCACTGAACCTATCAATGTGCTTAGAGGACATAGGGACAGGGGACGTATAATCCAGTGGTTAAGAGTTGGTTTCCAGATTGACAGGATCGCTCAGTCCGTTCGGTGTTTGCTCCACAAACAGAGGCAGGCAACTCCCTGGGGCTCACTTGCCATCCAGCCCAGCCTAATCAGTGAGCCCCAGGTCACAATGAGAGACCCTGCCTCTGGCACCCAAGCAACAAGGTTCCTTGCCTTTCACATGTTAAGATTCAGGTTTTCTGAGGTTGACCTCCAACTGCCTCTGAAGACCAGCAACCTGAGTCTGCATCATAATTCAGCCCCTAGTTGCTTTGTGGCCTTTGGGATAAATTTTTAAAATTTTTCTATCCTATAAAATGAATGGTACTGATATCATAGATACAGATCGAAGACTCTATACATCAAGTGTTTATCACTGGTTCTCTACTAAGTGTCCAGTAAATGTTAGCTATAAAATAGTAAATTTAAGTGTAAATGATAAGGCAATATGAGATGTTTTTAATAGAGAGACACCATGATTTTCAAATTTTATTTATCTTTTTTATGTGTATGCGTGTATTGCCTGCATGTAGGCAAGTGCACCCATGTCATGCAATGCCCGTGGAGGTCAGAAGAAGCTGTTGGATCCCCTGGGACTAGAGTTATGGACAGTTGTTAGCTGCCATGTGGGTGCTGGAATTCGAACCCGGGTCTTCTGCAAGAGCAACCAGTGTTCTTAACCACTGAGCCATCTCTCCAGCCCCAATACCATGATTTTTAAAAAGTTAAAAGAATTACTGTCAGTTTAGAAAGATGTGAGAGTGTCCTTAACACTCTTCTGTTTAGTTGCTGGACATCAGTCGCTGGAAACACCTGCTAGAGATGACCTGCTAGAGCTGAGCCTGCATGTTTGCCCTTGGCCTGTGTGTCACGAGGAGCAGGCTGGCATCTCTAACTCTACTAGGAAAGGTCATTAAGACCAAAATAGCATCATATTTTAGGTTTTTTGAAAAACAGTGATCCAGGCTTCAAGCATTTTACAGAATAATCTATAAATAACAATTGGATATAGCAGCCTGTTCCATTTAATTTTAAGAGTAGCAACAGATTGACTCCAGAAGTACCATGCAGGAATTGGTAGTACAGATAAGGAGCTTTGCTGAAAGCCTGGCTGTGATGCGTGCTCATGAATACTAATTAATTCATGTGGGCAATCAGCCAGTGAGACCACAAAAGAACAGCCTCTCCCATCAGACAAGAACTCACTACCTAAGTAGCACGAGGGCAGTCACAATTTTAGAATCAAGAGGTTAAAAGGAAAACATTGCAGGGTGAGCCCCTTGTTTAGAATACCCTTGCTCTTTCATTTCCCAGGGCTGTCGAGGAGCGGGCCGGTAATCTGGCCTGCAGCACTGTCTTCTGCAGCTGTAGCCCTGCATGCAGCACCGCTAGGATTAGGGGATGCCTTTGCAGGGCTTTTGTTCTACGTGTCTTTTGTTTTGTTTTTGTTTTTGTTTTCTTTTAGACTGTATCTGGCCATGTAGCCCAGGCAGGCCTTGAACTTGCGTTTTTCTGGCTCAGCTTCCCAAGTGCTGGGATTCTAGGCATGTCTCACCGTGCCCAGCTTGCTTGCCTGCCTCCTTCCTCCTTCCTTCCCTTCCCTCTCTTCCTGTCTCCTTTCTCCTTTC